TATATCAAATAATTCGAATTCATCCATCACAACACAAGAACATCAAGAAAGTCGATTCTCAAGTCAAAAATTCAAATAATCAATAATAATAAAAATATTAAATAATTTTATCTAATTCTCAATTTGTTAAATTTGACCCTTCCAATAATTCCTATAAATACCAATCCGATTGCTAAAAGCCAAATCCATAAATGATCAAATTGTTGTTTTGTCCATTCAGCTTGTGTGCCTCCAAGAGCCGTTAAATAAATAAAAAATAACAAGAAATATCCACTTATACGATGATATTTATAAATCATTTGTGCCTTAGTAACTCCTCCAAATAATCCAGGAAAATTTGCCAAAGTGACTCCTCCAACTAATTGGATTATCAAAAGTATGGTTGTTGTTAATCCAAATACTCCATGAGAAGATGCAACTTTTTTTTTAATAAAAAGAAGATTTTTCATTAGATTCATTAATTGAAAATAATATAATTTTACAATAAAAAATAAAAAATAATTACAATGTTCTTTATTTTTCATATTTTTAAAAGTGATGATGACGTAAAATCCACTGATTACACTTAATAACGAAATAGTTTGAATCAATCTATGCAAGTTAAGTCCCAGACTTTTTTCTTCTCTGGTCGTAGTTTGTTGAAGAACAAGAATGCCTATTAAATAGATTAAGTTATTTAGATCTTTTAGACATCCATTTATTATAATAATTAATTGTTAGTATCTATATATATATTATATTATCCTTACCATTTGTCACCATGAAAATAGTTAAAGCCATCAATGTTGGATGCCATACAAAAAAGAAATAATCAACGTTCCACATTATGTACCAAACGGTACTAGAAAATAATAAAGCACCAAGACTAGCGGTCAAATACAAAATAAAGGCCATGTTGAAGGTTTGTATGTATGGTGTTTGGATAAAGTTGACGTCGTTATTAATTTTGTGGAATTAATTAGGATCTTCATATATATGTGAGCAATTTTATATATATATATATACACCGTGTAACTAAGTATTATTTTTGAACGTGAAAATCCACATGTCAAAACGTTTAAAGTTGATATTAAAGTTATTATTATTATTATGTGCAACAAGACGGAAATTTGCTGTTGCCTTAAAAATATGATATCAATAACTCGAGAATAGCACCATTAGAAGAATATTGCGCTTATGCTTTTAAATGGAATTTCTTGAGCTTTCTATCCCTGCACCACACGGAGGAACTCAAAAATCC